TGGTTTAAATATTTATTTACCAAAGAAATTTAAAGGCTTTAGCAGCAATGGGCTACCTATTGAGTGCGTGTGAGTGTCTGCGAAGACATTCCATGTAATTCTTGGAGGTATTTATAGGCTGGTGCTGTGTTATGCAATCAAGTTCATAAAATTGTATTCCATTTTAAGGGCTTAATGATATTTAATTCGAAATCTACGTCCTCTTCTCTTAATCCGATCAGTGCATTACAAACAGATCATGCGATTTGATATTTTTAATCGGATTATACCCTCATTACCATGACAAATACACTGCTTAGGGTTAGTTACAAAGGGGCATAATGTACTCTCCATAAATCGAAAAATTCATATTGAAATTATAACATTAAGATATCTCTTTAATTTATCATTATTAAATAAAAGAAGGATTATTTAATGTTACAGAAATAACTAAACATTTTTACTTGTGGGACACGTCATCGCATGCGCGTACACATAGGCTTGAGGTGCGGCCGTACAATTTCGCGTACTAATTGAGGACAAGAGCACACAGCCAATAGCAGCTCAATGACCCTCACTTGTTTTACCAAATCCGCCATGTTGTATGACTGAGTTTCCTTCCTGTATACACTTCTTGCGTGGTTTATCTATTGAATAAACGTGCTCCGTGCTAAACGTCTGTTTCCTTCATAGTTGGGCTATAGCTTAGCTGGTTCTGGGAGTCTAGCTAGATGTTGGAGAATTTGCCATAGAGATTTCTGAGTCAGTCAGGCTTTACTAAGGTAGCAATCCGCTACATACTTGCTACACCTTCATCAGAGTGATTAAAATTCACTCCGCCTGTGTCATTAAAAAGATTTGAAACCAAATTAAAAATTTTACTTAAAAATAGCCTATTAAAGATATTAAAATAAATAAGAAATCCTTCATTTGGGGGAAAGGGAGAGAATGTCACATCTCAAGGACACAATTTTGACCTACAGAGGGAATTCAGAAGGCCATTTAACTTTTTCGAAACCAAAAATGAAATATTTAAAGCAAAGTTAAGCATAATTCCTGGCTTAAGAGGAAGCCTAAATGCACGAAAATGATAATTTAAGCTTTTTTGTTACAAGCAAATGTAGATCGGATGGTTGCATACCTTCAGGAAATAAAGAACTCGGTGTCACATACGTCTCAGTTTGAGTCATTCAAATTCATGGAGTAAAAAAACTCGATGATTAAAAACTAGGTTTTCAGGCGAGAGTAAGAATCCGGGCATAGTTAAAAACTCGTAGAGCCACGCGAACCATCGATTCAGTAAAAGGAATTAAAGAAGCCGATGACGGTTAGTTAAGTTAAAAATTTCAAAGTAAACATGCCCTCCAGAGAAAGAGATATTAGCTGTCATATAAAGAAATATTATACACGTATTCGTGTTGGCTTTCCACGACCAGAAAACGTCGAATTTGAGAGAGAATTGGCAATAGTTCGAGAAAGAAAAGTCTGAATGAAAGATGAAAAAGGAAGGCGTGAAACGACTTCGAAATTAATTATAAAAGTAATGCCAGAAGGAAGACCCTTAGCTCCTTTATTTTAAAGTCTAAACAGCTTCTATCTCTAGGAGACATACCTGCGAAACAGAATTCAGCGTTGCGATTGCTATTTTGCTCTGGTGCCCAGGAATTTAGTAACAAATTACCTTCTTCTATTTACCCAGGTTGGTTTTATTTTTCAGCCTGAATTACATACTTGTGAACGCATTCGCCCATTTTCTTGCGCGATCCCATTCGTACATTCAGCAATCCAATCAACGTAAAGGTATCACACAGCCAACAGTCTGATAGTGTATAATTGATTGGATACTTCCCAACCAATCAGTATTTACTCTCCCCATTTTCCATAGCTTCCTGGTGTTATTGCAGCTAAACGATTTCATTTAATTGAAAAACCACTATGAGCGTGAGCGGTCCTTCAGTTCCCCACGAAGGTAGACACATCCTTTTTGCCGTTGATGCGTCAGAAAATGCCAAAAATGCCTTCCACTGGTATCTCAAATACTCACGACTTCCTGACGATTTTGTTTTCTTTTTCCATGTTTTTGAATCGCCTTCCCTTCCAGCCATCTCTCTGACCAATCCCGGTTCCATACCTATCGAAGAATGGAGCAAGATTCTCATGGCTCGGGTAGACAGTGCCAAGCACATGGAAGATGACTACATTTCTGAGGCTCGAGCTGTTCATCTTAATTCCAAATTCTTGAGCCAGCCTGCAGCGAAGATCGGAGATGCAATCATAAAACAGGCCGAAAAGATTGGTGCTCATATGATCATCATGGGAACCCGTGGTCTCGGCGCTGTTCGTCGTACTCTGCTGGGTAGCGTTAGTGATTATGTTGTTCACGAGTCACCGATTGCCGTTACTGTCGTTCCAACACTTTGAAAACAATCTGCTTGTAACTGTTCCCTAGCACCCCTAGTAAGATACTGTTAAGTAAGTGCTTGCTATTAAAGTAGAACTATTGTCTGTGAGAGAGAGTTCTTTTATCTGAATCATATTTATAAGCCCTTGAAATGGTTTGTAGTTGTGTTCTCAGTTATTCATAGCCCATAATTTTGAACGCTGCTTTGGTAAATGAAATAGCTAAAGTTAATAACATCTTGCCAACCCCTTATTTGAAAGTGGATCGCTTTGCACAGACCTGTGATTAGTTTCAACAAAATATAAAGTTTCTAACTTGATCACGAAAGTCCAATTATCTCCCAAAAAGGGCGTTAGCACCATCTTAAATTGACGTTTGAATTACCAAAATTTCAGTATTTAGCATTGAAATTTAAAATAGGTGTAGCAAAAGTTGAGCACGAAATTTTTTTTTTATTTTTTTCCTCTTTCCCGGTGATAATACAAGGATGTAAATTTGATTTTCGCGGTGTTTTACATCCGTTTTACAGAAGCTTTAATTTAACAAGTGTGACGTGAGTTTGTGTGCTTTTAAAGTCCTTAAAACTTTAAAGGTTTCTTCTCGAAAACAGTTTTTTCGTGTTAAATCGGGTATCAGAACAAATTCCTTTTAGTTTGAATTATTTTGGCAGCTTCGACTCTGATTGGTGAAGGTACAATTCGAGACTTTAGCGTGAAACGAAAGTGGACGACTGAACGATTGTAAAAAAAGGGTCAACGTTTTTCTTGCCAAAAACTCACGAACTTGAGCTTAGATTGGGTTTTGCCAAATTTGCTTTGCTAAGTAGTATGCAGACCTGGTTTAACATACCGATATTTATACTCTCGTGAAATTCATATGTTGAAGTGTGTGTATGTGTGTGTGTGTGTGTGTGTGTGTTGAAAATTGGTACGCCTGGCTCGATTTGTTCAAAAGCTGAATTGGCTTAGGGGTGTGGATGAGAACTTTGTTAAAATGTTTGAAAATGATTTCAACAGTCATGCCCATGATTATTTGAGAAGGATTTCAGTAAAGCTCCGGCGTCTTGTTGGTGCCTAAGATACTGTATTCTTTAAATATTAATTTGACGAACTTAAGTATGCTTTGTCAAGTCTGATTGAGGGATAGACATGTATGAAGGATAACTATTTCGATCAAAGAAAACTTATAATTTTATGATCAAAACCTTAAATGCATGACATCTTTTTGTTAAAAATGAATTTTTCGATGGAAATTGAGGGGCTTAAAAATCGTCTGGTTTGGTTTAACACAAAATTTTTATTGGCTTGAAGTACTGGTGAAATGAATTCTAGAAAAACGTAAGAGTGCTTTCACAAGTAATGGTAATTCGTCCTTGAACACCACCTTCCTCTGTTAATCAAAATATGATCTTGGTGGTTAACTTAGCCATGGATGGAATCAAAAAAGGTGTCCAATTAAATAGGATTATGATATTAAAAACTTTAGATAATTGGTAGAAATCAGAAACATGGAAATTAATATTGAAATTCCACTATAATAAGTAAGCAAGGAAGAAAGAAAGAAGGAAATGACTTGATGGAAAAGGCAATGATTACCAATGATGAGAATTTATTCTCAAAACAGTCAGGGATGAAATCAGCTGCTTGAGGGACGAATTCAATTTTGAAAACTCTAATGAATTTTGTTTCAAACGCTACACATATGCGAACCCAGAAAACTTTCGGAAATGTTAAAAGAGCTTCAATTTATCATATATTTTTTTACCAAAATGGATTATTTTCAGCGAAAAATTCCTAGTAAATGACTTAGAGTAAGTTTTTAACTATGTTTTCTGAATTTCCCACAGGGAAAGATATTAACATCATCAAAACCATTATCCCATGGAATGTATTTTTCCTTCTTCAGAGAATTTATGAGTTCCATTTATGGCACAAAATGCAAAGTAACGATTCCGCCTAAATTCATGCCCATTTGATGAAAGGGAGAAGGATTTTAAATATATAAACGATTATTACATCGCTAGAGCCAATTTGATCAAGGAATTTAAACGCTATCACTACCGTCCTGAGTCCGATGTCGATAATGCGGTTGGCCACTCCACTCACTGGGCATCTCACACGTGCCTTCCGTCTCTGTTGGACAGGTATATTAGCCGATGTGCTAATAGCGAATTTTATATAAAGATTTGTCTGCTAGTCGTTTTACGGGGTTAATGAAACTCTAACGCTCCCAACCATAGGCATGCATATTTTCTCTCATGGTTTTCAGGTTTGAAGAATGAATTTCCTACTTTCTCAGTTGAGTGATTTTTATCATTTTGTATGAGCTAAATTGGCTGGCACTATAAAATGTTTACTCAGTGGAGATTATCAGACAAAATCGAGCGTACATTCAAGATAACCTTCCTACACCCAGTTCAGATAAGCATAAGCTGTCTCACTTAGATTGTCCAATATAAACAAAAAATTATTCAATTTTTTTTCGTATGACAGCTAATTATATGTCTGATAAACTATTGAAGACAATATGTTTGATTCTTTGTTTCTCTGAATTATATGTACTGGTTCCATAGATAATTGTCTGGGAATAACTAATATATGTTCAATTTTCTTGTGAAAATGGGGTGTGCGATAGACTTACCTCCACATTGCGATAGACTTACCTCCACATGGTGCACCCTGGGCAACGTATACTCATACGGCAAAAAAGTCTATTAACCGGCAGTTGACTTATGACTTCAAACTACTATCACCCCACTGTATGTCAAAATCAACTACTTTACAGTACTCACCTCACCTTTTGCCTACCTTTGTGTCTGTCTCTTTTACATCTTTGAAACACTTTTCTGTTCCCTCCCCCTCTCGACTTAGTTCACAATTAAGATGCCTGCCATTTGATATAAATAAATAAATAAATTTTCACAAGAAAATTTATACCAAATGGCAGGCATCTTAATTGTTATCACTAGCCCTTTAATTGACTTCAAGCTTCACAGAGTGGAGAAGGAACACTCAACCACTTCCACAGTACTTATCTCACTCCTTCTCTACCTTTGCGTCTGTCTCTTTTACATCTTTAAAACACTCTTCTGTTCACCCCTCCTCTCGACTCTCTTTTACATCTTTAAAACACTCTTCTGTTCCTCCCCCCCCTCTCGACTTTTTTCTTGTGAAAATCGAATATAATATTCAGATTGGTTGTAACGGGTGCTATGCAAATAAGAAAATTTGCGAAATCTCTATAGTTATTCTTTCAAAGTAATGAGAAAAGAGAGAATGTAGTGAGTGGAGTGCGTTTGTTGTATCTATGGGGAATTGGAAAGTACGATTGGTGGACACCCGACAAAGCCTTTGCAGATACACGACACAGTTGTCCGCAATCCAATCGATAGCACGATCCCATTTTGCAGTCTATTCTTTGGCGCGTAGAATTCCCTCGATCAGCCTTGGCTACTTTATGAAAAATTTATTTTTTTTTCGCATTTTATCTATTTTAAACAAACCATTTGAATTCATTAGATGGCTGACGTGGGATTTTTGATTAAGTTATGAAGAAACATAATTTTTTTAATTTTTATAAAATTTGATTGGTCAATCGGACGCTTTTTGCTTGTTCGGGAATCGATGCACAGTGTTTACCTGATTTAAACTAGCATCACTTTTATTTCAACCAACATAAGCTCGATATTAGATTAAATCATTAAAATTAATTAAATCTGATGCACTTTTTAAAATTAAAAAAATAGTTCAAGAGACTTGAAGAATAAGTTAGCTGAAAATTTGGCTTGGCAACAATCTTACGTTTGGGAGAACTCGCATTTTGATTCGAAGAGATTACACCAATGCAGTCTAATCTTATTAAGTATTGTTATATTACTTATGCAAACCAGTGTGGCAAAATATTACTTTTAAATTTTAAGTAGATTGTATAACGTTTTAGACAATTACCATAGTAAAAAACTTCTACAGACTCTTATCAAGGTACCACTTCCAATCTAAAGTGTATCTGCATCTATCAGCCATTGCCTGCCAAGTCTGATCTCAGAATTCTGTTAGATTTGAGATCTAACGCACTCCAACAATTTCTATTAAGTTAATTTCGAGTATGATGGATATAGATAGAGTATTTCTAACAACATATACGCCAAGAAGTAATATAAGAGAAATTTTATTTTCAATATAATTTCTTAAAATATTTGTTTGTTGAAAGTTCGCAAGACATTTGATGCTTACCTAATACTTGGCGCACTCGTTGACACCTTAGGTCATCTTCAAAGTCCCTCGTGAACGCAGCCTACAGAGTTCTGCCAACTCAACATTTGTAGCTCCCTCCTCACCGCTTTGTTCAAGTTGCAAACTGTGGAGCAGTATACAAATTCTTTCAGTTTCTCAACTATTGGAAGGAAGTGCAACTTGGGGCTCAAAGTCCAACCAATCTTTCTTGTGAAATGATCAATGGTTGGCAGTTAAGGGCAAATGATAAAATTAGAAATTCGGAACATGAACGACCCAATTAGTAGATATTGCACAACACCATTCCAAAATCCAATTAAGTAACGCTCTTTGATAGCTTTAAGCATTTATCAGCATCTTTAAGATCTCCACTCTTTTACTACTTATTGGAATTACCGTTTAATGCTTTCAAGTGCTTCTCATAATTGTAAGTAGTAAAATTTTTTGGCATTATGATGTGAAATAAGGAAGTAATAGTCAGTGAAAAAATTCAACCAAATTTGTTGGGCAGGTCAGAAGATATTCTCCCTTTTGAATTTGACTACGTGAGACGCGACCATCTTCATGACAAGAGGAATAAATGTGCCGATTATAAGCCAATGTTTAATTTTGTCTGCGCATCGACTACCTTCTTCTTTGTCTTTGAGAGATCGGATGTTGTGGTGTACACCACGTGAATGGAAAGGCTAGCCACAACCTGGATAGGACTGGTTAATGAAAAGCGGCTGGGATGAGGGTGATGGGGGGGGGGGGCGGATAGGGGAGGAGGTGTCAGCTTTGTAGCTCCT